GCCCGTGTCGCCCGTATCTAAAACCGCTACTGCTAATACAGTCAATCCCCATCTGCTCCTTTTTTAAAATGAACAACTAAACAGTATTTAAAAGCATTTTTACAGCACGGTACAAAAGCTGTTGTGGGCTCTACAGAACGTTTACAGATTATTTTCTGAATCATACGCAGCTGATCACTGTCTGCAAAGCCACACCTTCACTAAAACGAATCACTGAACAGGAGTCCTTATTTTTGCTGTTGGTGCCTTTTGGAGCAGTTTCAGTGCAATTATTTGACAAATAAAATGGTTTAAATAAAATCGTCTGCTTATCCATTAACTCTCTGCTTCAACTTTGTTGTGTGGATTTCCATTATGTTATTAATAGCTATGTATATCTGTGCTTCGTTTGGTAAACACGGTTGATAATGTTAGCTGACAAATTAGCACGCCACTCTCTTGTCAAAATATGGTGACATATGGCTCAGAAAAAATAACATTTGGCTAATGTCATGCTAATGTCAAGAAATCAGTGGGTGCTGTCACAATAGTGACATCCAGAGATCTGAATCCATCTTTTATATACAGTCTCTTTGAGTTACATGTGAGAACAACTGTGGATAATGTCCTGACCTGATCGTCAGAGTCTGAGTTTCTACAGTTCATTCTTGCTGACTTGCTGACACTTATCGATGCATTGATGTTAGTCATTCCATATTTGTTAAGGATGATGAGATGTTGAGCTTCACAGCCTATTAAGTAAACTTTAAGTCTAAAGCTACGCCTTGCAGAATGATATTAGATGGGATAGAAATGAAGATTTTTTGCAGTCCCATGATAACCTAAACATTTAAAAACCTCTCCCAGTCTGACAAGAATACTAATTTAAATGTCTGGTTTGGCTTTTAATTAGCTGAATCACTGAACATCCTTCATTAACATTCCTCACCTTCATCCCTGGTAGCCCAGGCAGCCCCTGGGGTCCAGCAGGGCAGGCTGCAGGACACTATAAACATACACAGCCAGTCAGATACTCAACAAGCATGGCTGTTACCAGCCTCTTTTTAACATGACTCATTCTGGTCACAAATTCACTGTCACCACTCCAATTGCCATGCATCCAGGAAAAATTTGGCAGCAAATAAGACAGAAAAACACTCACAGCTTCCCCACTTCCCTCATTGCTGGCACCGGGCGGTCCCTAAAACACAGCAGAGTGAGATCTAAAACAGCCACAGGGGGTTAGACGTTCACAGAAAGTTCCAGATTTGAATGTGTGAAAAGAGACTGCTGCATGCGGGACCATCACATGCTCGTGATTTCATACAGAGATCTGAGCTCAGGACGAGATTCGTCCACAAGGAAAGGGCTAGTTACAATGTGTGCTGTTAGCATCGCTAAGAACTAAGACTGGAAGTACCGGTGATCGAACCACCAACCTTGATTGGTAGATAACCCCATGTGTGCTGTTGTACCATGTATGTATATAACGTAGGAAATGTATGAAATAATAAAGTCTCACATGATAATAAAACCAGTGTTGGATCAGGTTCTTACCACACGCCCTGGTGGGCCAGGAGGGCCAGGAGGGCCTGGAACCCCAGGTCCTCCTCTAGGCCCAGGTGGACCCTGCAATAACACATTTAATCATATCAAATCAATTTATTTATATGCCACTTTTCACAGGATAAAAACCACAAAGTGCTTCACAGTAATATAAAACAGAAATACATAAAATACATTAATAATAAAACA